AGAGAGAGTTGGAACTTGGCCTCAGACCTAACCACAGAATAAGGCGATTGCCAAGTAAGGGCAGGCCAACTGGTTTCCAAATTGAGAACGTCAATACAAGGGTTAGAGCAGTTGGAATGGATTGGGGAGAGAGGGGGAAGCATAAGAGAAAAGGCTGGACCTGCTGTGAACCTGAAAATGCTGCAATAAAGGTTATGGCATTGCCTAAAATGCCAGATGCAATATTTAAAGGAGATTTTTTTTTTTAAAGAGAACAGTTTGAAGACTGCCTTTCACTTCCAACAGAAATTAGAATTCTCTACTATTTCTACATTTCTCTGAAATACAAGTCTCTAGGACAGTTGAAGATTAAAACTGATGGTCTGTGTAAGTAACATCTAACCTCACACAAAACCACCTGTCTCATTTCTTCACTCAGGCAAATAAGTGTGATCCGTAACCAGTTGGACTTACATGGAATTCAACCTTTAAATTAATCATACATAAAACAACACTTTATGTATGTATGTATATATGTATGTAGATGTTATCACCCTAGTATTTTCTTCTTTCACTTAGTAATTAAAAAGGTGAGGGGATAGCGATGATATAAACCATATTTTATGTATTCAGTGTGGTATTTTAATAAACTATGCCTCCCAAGTTTTCTAATCATTAGCAATTATTCTGTAGAAATACAGAAGCCTGCTACTGCCTGCCGGGCCTCTTCTGCAAAAGGTCAAGAGTCCTAAGGGACACCCTCCCCTGCTACACAGGTGATGATCCGCCTCTGACCTTGTCATTAACTCACAGCATTAGCCTATTACCTGACAGAGTGAGCTGGCAGCAGGGGAACTTGCCTACACTGCCCCCCACGAAGATCCAGTGGTACTCTCATCAAGCAGGGCTGCTCGGAAATGCTTCCCTGTCTGTATGACGTACGGGGACACTAATATCCCAGCTGACTGCAAGTTTTATTCATTCATTACACTGCAAGCACGTGAGCATTTATCAATGCACTGATATCAGCATGAAATGACTAATTAGTAGATACTCATGACAGGAACTACTTTCAAACTCACTCTCAGTCTGGGAATTCTATTTCAAGGCTTCTCTTATAACCCTGGGCAAGGCTCTTGGGTCACTGGTGAGAGAGACTCTTTGCGCGCTACAGCTAATTTTCCTAGCTAACTGTGAGTTAGAGGACTTTACACAGCCTTCACCATAAGGAAAAATGGTGCTCACCTTCCTATTTCCCAATTACTCTAGCAAAAAAAAAAAAAACCCCACACACTCAACTCCTGACAGGAGTAGAAAAGGAAAGTGACCCAGTGATCCACAGTCAAACGCATGTTGACTGCACACTCTGGGAGGAGCCAGACACTTTAAGGAACAGATATACATAGTTAGTTGCTGGCTATTCTCCTCGATTTGAAGTTACTGCTCCTACAAATGATATCTGAAAAAAACCCACAGTGAGGGCCAGCCAGTGGCGTGGTGGGTAAGGCAGCTGGATCCCACAAGGCTGACAGCACGGTTTGTGTACTGGACCCAGTGGCTTGAAAAACATGCTGGGTGTGCATGTGTGAGTGTCCAAAATCCTGAGAGGGAAAACAGGAGAAAGGACTGTGGTGTGGCCATCCTCCAGGAGGGTGCTCTCACGTTCCTCCTCTCTGGTGAGCACATGCACCCTATGGCAAAACTAAAAAGAGAAAAAAGCCAGTGAAAAAGTCAAGACTACTGACCTAAACAACTCAAAACAGACATACACTAGGACAGTACAGAACCTGTGTTTAAGAACAGTATCGAGGGAACCAGCAGTTGGCGTGATGGCTATGTCGCTGGACTCCCACGTAGTTGACCATGGTTCGCATCCCGGACCCGGTGGCTTAAAACTCACGCCGGGCGCGTGTGCGTGCGTGCCCAAGATCCCAAGAGGAGAATGGAGGAGAAGGGATTGCGGCATGACCATCCCGCCTGGGGGGTGATTTCTCGCTTTCTGTCTCTCTATCTGTCTGTGAGCGCATGCGCCCTATAGCGAAGACCTCTCAAAAAAAGAACAGTATCGAGTGGAACACTCAGGACCCAATAACCCTGGAATCCTGAGGAGCCCCAGCAGTCACCTAGGCAACGAGTTTTCGGTGCCACTCCACTCGGGGATTTTTCTCTCTACATTCTGGTACAAGTAAGCCTCCCAGTACCCATCTGGTCTGGGCACTGCTCGTCTCCCAGCGGGTGAAAAGGACTCACCTCACAGAAGAGGGTAAGCTTGTCATCAGGGAGAAGCCCGTTGGCCTCGTCCAAGAGAAAATCTCTACGGATGAATTTTTTGAATCCCCAGTCTTTGCCTTGCACAAACCTATATGCCCGTTGACTCTCTGGCGTGAAAAAAAAAGGTCACACTTAGAGTTACTCAAAAACCAGATTAAATCCACAAGACATCAGTGTATGAAGTTACTGACATGACAGTAACGAGTTGGACAAAGAGGAGCATATTTACCCATAGCTTTGGTTTCTTCTCCCTTGGCATTCAGAATGGAAAATTTGAATTTTGCTCGAACTTCACTCTTTGGACAGCTAACCAGTAACAGGTAAAGTGACAGATAATCTTTGCTTTCTTCATCCAGCCCTTTTGGGTTCACTCGCAAACACCTGCCCAAACAGATAGGGGGAGAAAATGCATCAAATGCATTCACATGTACAGCCTTGTGAAGTGACTGGATGGAACTGAAACATCAGAATCAAGAGAAGATGTTTAGGAAAAAATCCAGTCCTCATACCAGGAGATTATGATTCAGTGGATGACTACTTGGGAACTGCTTTCTAGAGCCATGTGGGTCACCTTTTAAACAGTAAACAAAAAAACCAAGGAACATTCTAGAATCTGGCAACACAGTCTATAACTCTCTGCCTTTTTTTGCATAATCTCATAAATCACTCCCTAAAGTATTTAAAAACTGAGCCTAGTCTTGCTCTATTCTAATCCTCAATCTCAAGAAAAGGAGCCCTAAATTTTGTTGAGACTATGAAGAAACCATGGGGTGGGGAGGAGTCACTGAGCCCTTTAATATCACCTTGGCAGAGAAAAAGTATTCTAGAGAATTATGTGACTAGTACATAACCTTTTACAGATATTTCATCAATCTGGCAATAATATTCTAAGATTAAAATAAAGGAGGCAATATGGAAGAAGCACAGACAACAGTAAATTCCCATTATATAGTTAGAGTTCCAAAGTAGGCTCCTCTAAAGAGATGCCAGTCTGTTACAGATGAATCAAAAAAGAATTGAGACTGAACAGGTTCGACTGAGTTAAGTTGTAAATGTCATTCACTGAACTGCATGTGGTTCAGACATTGCTTCTACCACGTGCAGCACAGGCCATATGTACCCTCAGGCCTGCCATAGCACAGCACCTTTCTCCAACAGGTGGCCTAGCGCAGTGCCTCTCTGGGAGTACACATGCCATATATATGCTCTACACTGTGCTAAAGATGTGGATTTAAATACAATGCTTAAGAACAAACAGTTCTCGGGGCTGGCAGGTAGTGTGGTGGTTAAGGGTGCTGGACTCCCACATGGCCAACCACGGTTCGAGTCCCAGACCTGGCAGCTTGCTTTCTCACTTTCTCTTTTCACTTTCTCTCTCTGTCTAACTCACTCAATCTGTCCCTCTCCGGTAAAATAAAAATAAGTTAATAAATTAATAACATTAAATAAAAATAATTATTTAAAAAAACAAGTTTCCTTAATATCTAGTATAATAGCACACTGCTTAATGAACATAGCCAACAAATACTAAATAAATGGACAAATAATTCTTCGAGAGTAGGTTATCAGAGTCAAAACTAGTGGTTCAGAGACATGTTTTGGTCTTTGCAAAGGGCACATGACTGTACCCTTAACTACCTGCTCCTCTTCCTCAAGACAACACCTGGTTTAAATGGGATTGATCTCCACTCCCAGATCGTATTTCCCCATGCTGCAGGGATTAGTTCAGGGAACCTAGACATGAACCGGCCAGTGCATATATCACATATTCCTGGCTGGACTGTTAGTTCACAGAAAGCACCAAGACATTTGTCAGCAGGTTACATCCATTGCTGCCAGTCATCCTTCAAGCACAAGAGAAGCTAGGTTTGAGATGTTCACCTGAGTGGGCAAAGGAGAGATGGCATCCTCATCTTAGCACTGGCCTGCTGGATGAAACTACCTTTTAATCCATCCTACGCCCTGGTCAGTCCAGTTATATAAGAAAATAAATATCCATTACCATTCAAGAACAAGGAAATTAAAAGTCAAGAGATTTATATTACAATTCAGATTTCTTGTTTTTCTTAAAAAAAGAAAATCTGGCAATAGTCAGCCCTTATTTACACACCACTGTAGTCAAATAGAGGTGAGTAGCCACAACCCTTTTATTATTTTAAGTGTATTTATTTCATTCATAATAGAGAACACGTATATATATATATATATGCATGCAAGGGATAAGAGCGAGAGGGAGAAAGCACCCCTATAGGGTTTTATCATGCGTGTTAGACGTTGGGTACAGATGCACTCAGGAACATGCACACTCGGCAAGTTTCAGGTTTACTGGGCCAAGGATCTGAGCTCCTGGTCAGTCTTACACTACCTACTGAGCCACTGAGGCTAGGCCCACCGCCCTTTCACAAAGACTCACTCCTTTGCCACGTAGTCCCCACTCATACCACGGATAGCTATCATTTATAATACTGGCCCTCTTTACTCATCAATTGTACCCTACAGCTCTGGTTTGCTGACCCTTGATGTACTCATAGAATTAATTCAACGAATATTTACTGAGAAGAGGCACTGTTCTTGGCACTGGCCAATAGTAAGAATCAAACAAAGATCCTGCCTTCATGGAACTTACATTCTAGTCAGTGTCCCATAAAACTGAGCGAAACAGACAACTTTTAGAAAAGTGTTAAAAAGCTAGATGTATTTGTCCTCACCATTTCAGTTTATCATTGGCTCCTGATGAAAAGGTTGAACTTTTAATGACTTCACCCATTTCCTCCCGGCAAAAGCTAAAGTTATTGATGGTCCACATGTAGGAGAATTTCACTACCTTGATCTGTTGACAGAAAACCAGGAAGTAATTAAATAGGAAGTGGGAACCCTGAAAAAATGGGAAGATCATCTTGTCCCCTCCCTCCCACTGCATGATTCTGACAGGAAGCAGCACCGGTTGGCCAGCATCCAGACCTAGCTTTTTCTCACTTTAGGTCCCTTGTCCACATTTTAAGAAATCTCACATTGACCAACTGCTTTTATAACATTTTTTGGCTGCTGAGAAACACGAGATGAAAAGTGAGAAAAACAGGGAGAGAAAAAAAATAAATAAAAAACCAAAACAAAACACAGTCAAGGCTGGGAGATCAGATAATAAAACCATACCTACGATGATCTCTGCAGCTGAGATGCTGCTCACTGCCTGGGGTTACAAACCTCCAACCTGGTTTCCCCAACAGGGGAGCCTTAGAACACATTTCCACCAAGGATTATGGAAGCAGGTGTAGTTCCAAAGATCCTCCCTTTCAACCTCCACTGAGAAACCCTAGCTTAAGGATTCCAATTCCATGGGCAACACCAAAGAATGGAAGGCTGACAAGTACCTTATCACCTTCTATTAACATTTGGCAGTTATGCCCCGGAGCAAGCAGGAGATCCACGGAGAAAAGCGGGAGAAAAGCAATCCTTTCCTTTCGTCCACCTAATCCTCTCAAGAAGCAGGACTTACAGGTGAGAACATGAACTTACCTGTGTGTAGCACCAGCTCTCAGCTACGGGGCCACTCGACATTTCTGCCGGAGGTGGAGGACTTGGAACCCTTGACATCGCCAGTTTGAAGGTTAAACAAGATTTTCAAAGTTAGGAGGCAAAGATTTCTGTTCTCTCTTCACCCTGGCCAGACCCAAAAAATGAGAAGACTTTATTAGACTATTGGTATAATACCCTACTATTTTTTGAGCTTTCAGAGACTGGTAACTGTCTCCTGCCTAGAATGTTCCACTACCCTGATCATTCCAATAGTTCCTGACCCGTTAAGCTCCAAATGTAAATGCTAACCTCAGAGAAGAATACTCAAGCAAAGCAGTCTGCAGGTCACAATGTATCACGTACTTACTTCTCAGCACAATACTCTACATTGTTTTACTCAATGAATTTACTCCCCAGGCATAAAAAGTACAACCATGAAAAGGCTGCCTGGGGGCCAGAGGGTGGTACAGCAGTAAAACTCAATGCTGTAAGAACTTTCCCCACCTGGGAAAGTTCCAGGCTCATGTCCAGAATCCTTCCTGAGTATGCCAGGCATGTGCATGCCCATCATCTAGGGATGCCAGAACCTGGGGGTGGACTGTGATGTAAAAATCGTGTGTATGTGTGTAGGGGTGGGGGGCAGCAGGTGGCATGGTGGTAAAGGTGCTAGACTCCCACATGACTAACTCCACAGTTTGAGTCCTGGACCCGGAGGCTTGAAAATCATGCCAGGTGGGACCAGCAGTTGGCATAATGGCTATGTCGCTGAACTTCCATGTAGGTGACTATGATCTGAGTCCCAGACCTGGTGGCTTAAACTCACTCTGGGCACATGTGCGTGAGTTCCCAAAATACCGAGAAGAGAATGGAGGAGACGGGATTGAGGTGTGGCCAACCCCCTTGCGGGGGGTGATTTCTCGTTCTCTGCCTCTCTTTGTCTTTCTGGCAAGCGCAAGCGCCCTATAGCAAAAACCTCTCAAAAAAAAAAAAAAAAATCATGCCAGGTGTGTGTGCATACATGGCCAAAATCCCATCCCAGAAGAAGGGATTGCAGCATGGCCATCCTCCTGGGGGAGATTTCTCTCTT